AAACACAGGTACAAAGGTAATAAAGAAGATATTAACACCGAAATTGAAATCCAAACGCTAAGATCTTCGAAAGACAATAAGTGGGGCACATGGGCATAAAAAGGGGACGCTTTTCTACAAGGCATATTGCTTCAAAACTTGCAACTAAGCACTTCTTATTTAATTTGCTTCTGACCGGCCTTTCATAAAACGAAATTAATTATACAGGGAGATTAAATAAGGGTGACGACTGGCCGTATCTCAGAATATCTTAAAGTAGAATTTTTTTAAAGAAACTCAACAACAGTTTAAAGGAGACGTCTTTTTATAATATCCTCAACTGTCATATGTCATTTCTCTCCCCAACGTCAATCCAACTAATTAATACCTCCTTTTTAATTTCTACGATGTCAATTGTACTTAAGAGGTGATTTAGCTCAAATTGCTGATACTGCGTGGATTCATAAATTGACCAGAACAAATGAAATCAGAGTAGCTTGACAGGTTCGCGGGCCAAAGTCTACTTTACGATAAAATGAAAGATACTATAATACGAAAACGACCAAAAAAATGTTGAGAGCCACCAAGTTTTTGAGTAACTAAGATATTTTTTCTTACAACTTTTTTTTAGATACAAATTTTTTCTTTAAAAAAGTATGACTAAAAAGCCCAATTCATTGACTAACTTTTTTAACTCTACAAGTTTTTTCTAAAACTTGAGCATTTACGAGAAAAAAAATCTAATGCAATGCATTTTCAAAAAGATGAGCTAACGCGAGTGTATTTTGCGTCTAGTCTAGTGGCCTGTGCTTTGCATAAAACATTAATACGGATACCAGGATTGTGTAGTGTCATTTTCTGTTACCCATCTTATTGTTTCACAAGTTTTATGATTGTGTATTGTAGGAAATATTAGTTGATTGAAAATATGAATGCATATTTGAATTTGGAAATGGCAGATATGCATTTTATATACGGTCGTGCTAACGGTAATTATTGGAAGCGCAAAGACTTTATGCTGAACAGTACCCACAGCGTAGACTACCCCATCATACTACGTTCACAACTATTCACCGACGCTTGCGGGAACGTGGTAATTTTGAAAAAAGAAGTTATGATTCTGGTCGTACTAGAGAAGTTGGAACTGCAGCTGTAGAAGAAGCCGTACTTAATTCAATTGAAGAATTCCCAGAAACTAGTACCAGGAGAATAGCTCGTGTCCTACATGTAAGCCATTCCGTTGTTTTTAGAATTTTAAAAGATCAAATGTTGTATCCCTATCATCTTCAACGGGTGCAGGCGTTAATGATTCGAGATTTTTTACCCCGTGTGATTTTTTGTCAGTGGCTTATTAATATGATTGGCCAAGCACCACAGTTCTTAGGTAATATTTTATTTAGTGACGAAGCGAGTTTCTCAAGAGACTGTATTAGAAATTTTCACAACAATCATCTTTGGGCTGACGAAAATCCTCAGCTTTTTTGAAGGAAATCATCAGTATCAATTTTCATTAAACGTGTGGCGCGGAATTATTGATAATCATTTAATTAGTCCCCATTTTCTTCCGCTACGATTAAATGGTGAAGCATATTGTCGTCTCCTTGAAGAATTACCTGTTCTTCTTGAAGAGGTTCCCATTTAAATTAGGCAACATTTATGGTTTATGCACGATGGTGCACCAGCTCATTTTAGTATACGTGCAAGAACTCACCTAGATGAGGTGTATGCCAATCAATGGATAGGTCGAGGAGGACCTGTAAACTGGCCAGCCCGCTCCCCTGACCTTAATCCTTTGTATTTTTGCATATGGGGATATCTGAAATCTTTGATATACACAAACCCAGTTGAAAATATCGATGATCTGCGAAACCGCATTGTAGCAGGGTGTGAAGCTATAAGAAATTCTCCAGGAATACTTCATCGTATACGCAATTCTATAAGGAAAATGGTAGATGCTTGTATTGAAGTTGAAGGCGGTCATTTTCAACATTTATTATAATTGTATTGTCGATATTCGGCAGGTTTTTGTTCATTGTTTGTTCACTTTTGTTTTTAGTTGTAGAAGTCTTAAGAATCATAATTTGGTTGGCTGTTGTTTAATAAAATGCTATTTTACATGAGCTTATTTATTTTTTTCTCATAAATGCTTAAGTTTTCGAAAAAAAACTTGTAGAGATAAAAAAGTTAGTCAATGAATTAGGCTTTTTAGTCATACTTTTTTAAAGAAAAAATTTTCATCTAAAAAAAAGTTGTAAGAAAAAAATATCTTAGGGGTTGATTATTTCAACCCCTTCTAAGCATACTTCAGGGTTGAAAAAATTTCAAAAAGTGTACTTTTATTGACAGATAATGTTTACCAAGTTTCGTGTCTTTAGCTTGATATACAGGGAAAATAAAAAAGAAAAACCATTTTTTTTTAATTTTCGAAGGGGCGTAACTTTTCCGGGGAGGGTTTTTTCAAAAAATTTTAAAACCAAACACTCACATTAATTTTTATCACAGAATCACCATTTTAATTTTTTCGGTGTTATTTAGATATCAAAGTATCAAAAGTATCAAAGTATCAAAGAAAGCTTAAAAATATTATTTGGTAGGGTAGCTATAATCTATATAAAATAAAATAAAACAGTAATAGTAACCGGCACTCATTGGCATGATGGTAATAAAAAAAAGCAGATGGCCGATTCTTTCGGTTTTCCAACGAAATCCAGCAAAATGTTAAAATATAAGTTGAAAGAAACATTACCTGACAATTATCCCAAAGTTAACACACAATAAGCACATATAAAAGACAAGACAAAAATCTACTCATAGTAAATTATTTGTCGGCACACACTTCTACACCACGTAGTTCGATATGCCAAAAAGGACGATCCGGGCGACGACAGCAGCAGATTTTATAGTTTAAATCGTGAATGTAGAAGAAAAATGAGGGACCGGCGCGCAAGCTATGCTTTTGTAATTCAGATTCGATTAAATTTTGGTCATTTACGAGGGGTTATGGAGAAGTTGTCGTTAAAAATATATTTTTTTTTTTTCAATTTGGTGTCTCGGCATCGACTGCTAAGGTCATTAGCCTTGTGTTCTGTGTAGGCTTTGTTACTGTTTCCCAGCGCCACTTTAGGAACAGCACTGTTAATTAGAACCCAACAGTAAATGGTCGAGTGGGGAATCCTACCAAGGCATCAGAATTAATTTTAAATAACTATATTAAATTAAAAAAATCCCGGCCAACGGTGGGATTCGAACCTGGGACCCAAAAATAAATTTAAAATTAATTTCACGTAACGTAATACAATTTAAATAGGGAAAGTACCAAGTATGACATATCGCCGGAAAGTTAATTGTGTGCTGACTTCAGCATTATGACTGTTCATTGTGTTCCTTTTAATTTTAGCACCCTTTAGCGAGATAAAAAAATATTACCTATGGTAAAGTGTGACACTTCATTTGAAAGCTAATTAATTTTATTAGTAATGCAATGCACCACATAACTTTAATCTAGATATCTATATATTGCAACAAAATAAATTTAGTAATAATGCATTCTTTTTTTCTCTTAAAGTAGGTAATGGACCACTTGGGAGCCTCCCACCACTTCACTTTTAACCAGTTGTTTTTCAACGATTTTCAACGTTTTTCAACGTCGAAAAACGTTGAATCAACGTCAAAAAACGTTGAAACACGTTGAAAAACGTCAAGAAACGGCTGGTAAAAAGTGAAATAATAGGGAGGCTCTCAAGTGGCTCATTATCTACTTAAGAGGTCTCTGATCGAAACGTCGTACCAAAATGCGACGTTGCCTTTTTCTGTGGCCTTTCTGGCTACAAATGCGCTCGATGTATAGGGAAATGTAAAAATACCTACAATCTACTCCATGTATTGCAAAATTGCCACATCTACAAATTTCCCTAGATCTAGGGAAATTTTGAGATTTTGGAGTGAAGTGTAGCTCCCTTACTACTTTTTAAGTTTATTTTTAAATTAGTTAACATAATATTACGCAGTGCATTAAATTACTAATAAAATTAACACTGCGGAATATTATGTTTACTAAATTAAAAATTAACTTAAAAGAAAAAACTATTGCATTGTTACTAAATTTATTTTGTTGCAAATGCATTATGGAGATATCTAGATTAATGTTATGTGGTGTATTGGATTACTAATAAAATTAATTAGCTTTCAAATTAAGTGTCACACTTTATCTTAGTTAATAATTTTTCATCCCACTAGAGGGCATTAAAATTAAAAGTAACGCAATAAATAGTCATATTGCTGAATTCCCATTAAAATTACCTTTTCGACGATGTATTATACTTGATGCTTTCCCTATTTAAATTGTATTGGTTAGAATAACGTGAGGGAGAGAAATGGAATATGACAGTTGAAGATATTATAGAAAGGTGTCCCCTTAAAAAGAAAAATCGACCTATATTTGCGCCTCTTTCAACATAAATTCTACTTCAAGATAATCTGAGATAGGGCCTGTCACCATTCTTAATCAATCGCCCTGTACAAATGTAAAAATGTGAAATATATTTGTGGACAACACAAATGTGAATGTAGCTACTCTTTACTGTAATTGTCATATGTTAGTGTTGAGCTTTGAAAGATGTATGACACAATAAATGTGTTTAGTAAGATGTTGACTTTAAATAGACAACCTCTGCGTCAAATCACAAGGTCTACTGCCAACACTTCAAAGAATTTCGCACCGATACTTCTTTAAAATAATAGAATATAGCTCAACTTATATTTGATCGTACAGATCTGTATTAAACAAGTTATATTTGGTAGCCCTTTATAACATAATAACTTTAATATCATACACAAAAAAATAAGCAACGTAAATGCAAACTACGATGATTTAAAAGTTCTTTAATCTAATATAATAGTATAATATTTACTGAAACCTGAAATCTACTTCATTTTACCTTGTATAGGTTACAATGTTATATATAATTTTTTTACTGTTTTATTTGAACATCCTCATTAAATTATTCTTTTACATTTTTCAGGTATCTCTCTTTAGTTTGTTGATAGAAGAAAACGAAAATCTTCGAGTACTTCGATCGCTACGAACTCTAAGAGCATTAAGGCCTTTGAGAGCCATAAGCAGATGGCAAGGAATGAGAATAGTAGTCAACGCTTTGATGTACGCAATTCCCAGCATCTTCAACGTTTTACTAGTGTGCTTAGTGTTTTGGTTGATTTTTTCCATAATGGGAGTGCAGTTTTTTAGCGGAAAATTTTTCAAATGCGTTGACGACGAAGGCGAACGATTAGATACAAGCGTAAGTATTAAAATTTATCAAAACAATTTTGACAGACGCAGTTAAAAAAAAATTACGTTATTCTGCACTTTTTTTAAATATTCTTAATAAATTTTACTAAATTGTTTTGTGCATTAAAATGCGTATGAAATACGATTGTATACAGGGAGTGTCATAACTATTGAAGCATGGATGTAGTTATTTACATATTATGCCTTTATTTATTACAAAGGCTAATTTACAATGTTTACAATAAAAATTTTATACTGATTGACTGATTGACTGACCGATCAACATACCGCCAAAACTCTTAGGTCTAGATAGTTGATATTTGGAACATGGATTTATTTTATAGCTAATAAAGGGTTTTTTAAAGTTTCAACATTAAAGGGCGGAAATGGGGAGGTAAAAGATGAGGATAATGGGTAAACTATGTATGAAAATCTTTGATCTTTGAAGGTACATCCATGAAAATTTGAAATACAGCATAAATAAATAATGACGTGTTTCAGGGTTTTTTGATTTTCACATTTTAACATTTTCACAATTTAACATTTTCACATTTTCGCATTTTCATATTTTCATATTTTCATATTTTCATAATTTCATATTTTCATATTTTCATATTTTCATATTTTCATATTTTCATATTTTCATATTTTCATATTTTCATATTTTCATATTTTCATATTTTCATATTTTCATATTTTCATATTTTCATATTTTCATATTTTCATATTTTCATATTTTCATATTTTCATATTTTCATATTTTCATATTTTCATATTTTCATATTTTCATATTTTCATATTTTCATATTTTCATATTTTCATATTTTCATATTTTCATATTTTCATATTTTCATATTTTCATATTTTCATATTTTCATATTTTCATATTTTCATATTTTCATATTTTCATATTTTCATATTTTCATATTTTCATATTTTCATATTTTCATATTTTCATATTTTCATATTTTCACATTTTCATATTTTCACATTTTCACATTTTAAGGGGGGTGAAAATTTGTATGATAGTATTGGTTTTTTAAAGATAGGAACTTGAAAATTGGAATTGTAGCTACTCGTCATAAATAAATAATTACGTAATTCAGGGTTTTTAAATTTTCACATTTTAAGGAGAGGAAACGGGGGTGAAAGGTTGTATGGAAGTATAGATTTTTTAGAGGTAGGAACTCAAAAATTGGAATTGTAGTTACTCATCATTAATAAATGATGCGTTTCAGGATTTTTGGTTTTTGACATTTTAGGGGGGCAAAAGTTTTTATAGGAGGTACGATTTTGTTAAAGGTAGAAACTTAAACAAATGGAATTGTAGTTATTGATCATAAATAAATAATGACGTATTCCAGGCTTTTTAGAATTTCCCACTTTAAGAGGGTAAAAGTGTATGGGGCATTGGTTTTTTAAAAGTAGGAACTTGAAAATTAAAATTGTAGCTACTTGTAATAAATAATATATTTCTGTGTTTTTGGATTTTCACATTTTAAGAGGAGGAAACGGAGGGTGAAAGTTTGTATGGGAGTATAGATTTTTTGTAAAGTGGAATTGTAGCTACATTATAAATAATGATATGTTCAAGATTTTGGATTTTTACATTTTAAGGGATGGAAAAAAGGGTGAAAGTTTTTTTTTTATTTTTTCAAATTAAAATTGTAGCTATACGTAAATAAATAATAATGTATTTTAGGGTTTTTAGATTTTTATATTTTAAGGAGGGAACAAAGGGTTTTTATGTTTTTATGGGATTATCGATTTTTTGAAAGGTAGAATCTTAAACATTTCAATTGTAGCTACTCATCATAAATAAATAATGAAATTTAGGGTTTTTGGATTTTCACATTTTAAAAGAGCAAATGTTTGTCAAAGTTTGTATGGGAGATTCGTAAAAATAAATAAAAATAATTAAAAAATAAATATAAATAAAAATAAACAAAAATAAATAAATAAAAATTGCTGTGAAATAGGATATTAACATTTAAACATTTAAATATTTTTTCGTTTTTTGTAATTATTTATCAACCTATTCATAATTCTTTATCAAAATTAGCACTAAAATAAAAACTATGAATTTTCGTATTATTTTCCTTTTGATGAAATTGGGTCATATCTATTTTTTGACGAAAGTTTTTAGTAATTTTGATTAGAAAATGTGTTATATAATTTTTATGTAAAATTGTTATAATTCAATAAATTTAATAATTTTAACTGTTTTCAAAAAAAAACGCAATTGTTTATATAATATTTTTGAATTCCTAATCACAACACATTGGGTGTTTAATTTCGGAGACATATGAAATATCTTTACGAAGTGAACTGTGGGAAAATACAATGTAAAGCTATTTTTTTAATATCGGAAAGTTTTTTATTAAAACGAATTGGTAAAGACGTAGAAGTAGGAGGATGGCACGGTTTGTTATTTTTATAAAGTTATTTTGTTTATTATTCAGAGTTTAACTATTGTTTCTCGTTTAAAAGTACTTTGTACTGATTATAAAAATGTTAATTAATTTTTTCTACTAGCGTGCGAAAAAGTCCACTTTTCCGCACCCATTTTAGTGTTAAAAGAGTCACTTTTCCGCACTAGTGCGGAAAAAAATTTTTTTCCGCACTAGAACTTTTTTCCGCACTAGTAAATTTGTTAAGTTTTTGGGGAGTATACTAACATTTGAATATTTAAAATATATATTTGTATGGTTGTAGTTTACAAAATGACTGCAAAATTAAGATATTTATTAGAATTGTGCTATAATTTTTAATAAAAAGAAATGTATGTTTTAATAATTTTTTAACGGCCTTGGTATAAGCCTCTTCAAATGAATTTTAAATATTAATTAACATCTGACATTTTTTATTTGTCACTTTGAATCACCGTAGCAACAAAAAAAAAATAAACTTGTCAGTCAAAACACTACCAATTTTAACGTCGCATCTTTTTCTAGAAGATAATTTTTCATGAATTCTTCAGACGAAGATTTTCCAGAGTCAGTTTTAGAGCGGCTAGAACTGTAAACTTGGATCTACTACTACCATCAATATCTCGTTATAGGTATGAAAAGGAATATATTTTGTTTGAAAACTGGTGCCAGAATAAGAAAATTAAAACATTTTTTTGGCTTTTTTCGCTAAAATTTCCAAAACATGCAAGCCAAACACTCTTTGGTCCAGGTACTCAATGTTAAAAAGTGTAATTAAACTCAAAAAATACTTCGATTTATGCTAGTTTTTCAAGGTCACGACATACATCAAAAAAACAAAACTTTGGATTTAGACCAAAAAAGGCAAAAATTTTCTCAAAAGAAGAAATTTTTAAGTTTATAAATGAAGCGCCTGACAAAATTTATCTTCATATAAAAGTCGCTACGATTTTTGGTTTGGCGGGCGCATGTAGGCGAGAAGAATTAACAAAGATGTCTTTAGATCATATTAATGACAAAGAAAATATTTTATTGATAAATATCCCATAACCAAAAAACCACTCTTTCAGATGTTTTGCGATTTCTGAGAAAGCTGAAAATGGAAAATTGCTCAATTTCTTCAGAAATTATGTAAGTTTAAGAAAGCCTGAAACCCCACATGAGCGATTTTTCGTGAAATATAAGAAAGGAACTTGCACTGTACAATATATCAGAATAAACACCTTCAGAAAAATGCCATCAGAGATTGCAAGTTATCTGACGCTTACAAATCCTGAATTATATACGGGCCACAGTTTCCGATGTTCCACCGCCACAATGCTTGCAGATTCCGAAGAAGGAATAACAAATATTAAACGCCTCGGAGGTTGCAAATCTTCTAGCGTCGCAGTAGGTTATGTAGAAAGCTCACCAAGTTTCCAAAAGGGCCTATCGAATAAAATATTAAACTTCAATGACGCTGTCGCTGGCCCTTCCACTAGTCAGCAGCTGTCACCAGTAAAGCCCTCCAAAATGCCTTTTTCCAGCCAAGTTCCCATCGCCACGGTTGCCACAATTAGTGCTGACAAAGCAGTGGAAAACCGAAATCTGACTTCATTGGAAAACATTTTAGTCTCTGCAATTAATTGACAAATTGCACGTTCAATATTAATATTAAGAATAATTAATTTGTTGATAATGTATTTAATAATAAATGTTTCTTTGTGTTAACTTTTGGGTTTTTTCCGCACGCTAGTAGTAAAAATAGTGTACCTAACACGTGCATAAAGTGACTTTACCGCACGCGATTGCTGGCCGAACTCCGCTAACACGTCGTTTGGCCATCTGCAATCGCGTGCGGAAAAGTATCACTTTCCGCACTTGTTAGGTAAACTGCTATATAGTGTTCGGTTAAAAATGCGCATCTTCTTATTGTTTCAGATCGTTGACAATAAATGGGAATGTCTGAATAAAAATTTTACATGGATCAATGCGAAAATATCTTTCGATCATGTAGGAATAGCTTATTTGGCATTATTTCAAGTTGTAAGTACTTTTTGTAGCTATTATTTTTTTTTTTTTCGATATATATCTACACAACCCATTTTTGGAATTTTTTTTATGAATTATTTCTGTCGATTTTACCTATATAACATAAGGTTGGTTAGAAAAAATAAGTAAATCAAATATTACTTTTTCATTCTTGTAATTTTTTATAATTTTTTTTTTTTTAGTGAATTTGCCAAGTAAATTCTTACTATACAAAATTACAAATGGGTCAGTGAGATTTTTTAGGCTTATTACCAAAGTTATTGGTTTTATTTAATTAATATTATCAATTTACTTACGTAGGATTGTCAGAGTAGTCGAGACACGATAATTGTAAAAAAATTATCAATTTTGTTTTACTAACCAATTTTTTTTAATAAATAATAATTTCCTCATAAAATCAAAAATTCCATTATCGTTAATTTTTTATAATTCAAAAGTAATTAAGACATGTTTAACTTCTTTTTAGGCCACTTTTGAAGGATGGATGGAAGTAATGGCAGACGCGGTAGACGCTAGGGGTGTCGATTTGCAACCACAAAGGGAAGCGAATTTGTACGCCTACATTTATTTTGTAATTTTTATAGTTTGTGGATCTTTTTTTACTCTTAACTTATTCATAGGAGTTATCATCGACAATTTCAATATGCTCAAGAAAAAGGTAAGAAAATAACAATAGTTTAATATTTTATTTCAGATATCTGTACCTTAGAGGTAAATAATTTTGTCTCCAGTTTTGTATTAAGTTGAGTGCATTCACTAAAATACCTAAGGTTTACCTTTTTTAGCAGTAGAAATATGTATCTCTATACCTAAGTACTAGTATTTGGTGTAACACGTTTCGAAAAATAGTATTTTCATTGTTAAAAGGGTTAGAAAATCGTATTTCCATTTTTTTTACAATTCTTTTGTATTAAGGATAAGATTATTTACCCTCAAAGTACAGATATATAATCGTAGTTATTAATTAAAACGAATGTTATTTTTTTTTAATGTTTAATTGGAACTACAACATACTTTTTCTGAGTTTTCTAATATAAATATCTTAATCCTTTGCATATACGTGACACGGCACACATATTTATTTCTTATCACAGTTGTAAATTTGATCTCTGTTTAATTATGGATTCTACTGTTTCATCTTTTTTTGAATTCCTTCGAGTATTTTATTCGGCGTGTACCAAAGGAAATGCATAATTATTTAATAGTTTTGAAGCTTTTGCAATGTAAAAATCAAGGTAAAAACCTACAAAATTAACTTGCAAACTTCAACAATATTATGAAACACGGTGAAACAGAAAATCAGATAAAATCAATTTAAATAAAGACCCACAGAAAATTACAATAATTTTTAATTTGCATTTATTACCTCATTTAATAATATATATTGTTATAGTTCTGTGAAATAAGACGGAAAAGGAAGTAATTCAAAACAACTAATTATCGCGTTTTTTTCCAAAATTCTATTATATAGTGTGTTCCTGCAACCACCAAAAACCATCTCCTGAAACTTCTTGACGACACTTAAATATGTTTTGCCCAGTTTTATAGTCGCTACTATGCTCTGTACTACTGTTTTTAAATTTCTTAAATTACTCCATAAATAAGTGAGTTATGAAATAATAATTGTATGACTAGTTGATGATAAAAAAAAATGACACGTCTTCTTGAGTCACTTGTGTGAAAGTGGAGGTCGTGACAGGATTGATTAATACACCAATGAATACAGCGAGAATAATAACCCGAACCAAAGTCTAAATACAGTTGAAAGGGTAGGCAACGCCCAATCGAGTGGTTAACTGAGTAGCTTCTCGTTTGGGTATGTACCTACACCTACAGTAACATCAATAGGTTCAACGATCCCTACCACTACAATAACGGCTTCAAAACTATAATTAGTCAGAATTAATAGCGACCCCAGAATTAGGATAGACGTAAATAAAAGAGATATACCTCCCAAAGTAGCCGAAAACATCATGCAGTATGATTCCAGTCAAACTACCTCTGAGGAAGAGAGCAGAGGAGCGAGATCCGCAATGACAATGATAGATTTGTCCATTTACCTCACTCGCCAAATAGCCTATTCTAGTTCAGAATCAAAGAGACAAGAGCGAGGTATGAAAAGGAAGTAGAGCTATAAAAACTAGAAAAACAGAAATAGAGCACCACAAATGCCGAAGCCTTTATAAAACCCTGGAATTTCAGCTCAAATTTCCAAAAACTAGTATGCGAAAAATCAATCAAAACCCTCACACCCACTAAAAACCAGTTTGAAACCCTTACTGACGAATCAGATAAATAATCCGATGACGAGATAGGGAAGATTGATAAAAAACGAAAGAAGGATGCAAATTTCAGGCTGTTCAATCCAGAAGAAGTACCCCACCTACCCCCAAAACAACAGCGAATACTGGCATCAATAAAACTGAAAAACCACTGTTATCCTCGAACTTGCTACCAGGCAGAAGACAAAAAACCACAATGCCACTTATTGTCATAGATGACAAGACGACAAACCAAAAGACTCTATTCCAGGATCTCAAAGCACTCGTAAGTGGAGAATTCAGTGCAAAACACACGAACTACACTACGATTGTCTTTGTGGAAAGCAAAGAAGATTACGACAAGGTACTGAAAAATATAAAAAGTGAAAAAATGCCGTATCATACTTACACAGCGAGAGACGATAAATCACACGCATTTGTACTTAGAGGCCTTGCAGAAGGCAAGAAAGTAACAAGATATTAGTGAAAATCTAGAGGAAAAACACGAATATTGCAAGAAACATATTTCAAATGAGAACGAAAGAAAGACCTCTCTTCCTAGTTGTCACTGATACAGTGTTGACACTGGATTATTTAAACAGAAATGGCAGGCGTGTACTTTATACAAGAGTAGCTTGGGAGCTACGCAAATCATATAAACTAATAATCCAGTGTCACAACTGCCAACAGTGAGGACACCCAACTTCAAACTTTGGCAGGCCGGCTAGGTGCCTTAAATGTGCTGGAAACCATCACACAAGTACGTGTCTAAAACACGAGAAACGCCTGCGACTTGTGCAAATTGCAGGGGTGAACATCCCGTGAATTACACCAATTGTACTAGTTATCTTGTCAGACTTGAGAAACTGGAGGAAAGACGGCCAAAAATGCAAATTAAATTAGTCCCCGCCCCCATATCGGCCATCTACCACTGGGACGCCAGAAATCAAAACAGATACACAAATGCGAGAAAAACTAAAGAATTTCCAACATTACCGGCTAGGAACATTAGAGAAAACATCCAAAATGGAAAAATAAGGAAAGAAGTTCCAAGACAAACCCCCCCAGGCGCGGCCATGAACGATGTCTCAGCCCTAAATCAGGGATTTGCAATCTTAAATCAACTCATTAACATCGGTGGGCTAAATAGGGCGGTTCGTGCCCTAAACGCCAAACCAAGAAAATGTAATACAGGACAAGAGGTATTTGAGACTTACAACGCATTTATGGACAAAATAGACATTAGCTTCAACTTAAGGAACTAAATTAGTACATACAAGACAGTAAATTCAAAAACATACGTCAAGGACATTATAACATGCTTGAACGGACATTTTTGTGTCTGCAGAAGCACTTTTTCTCAGAGTTTCTTCGATTTTCGGGTAAATTGGTGTGAGCAGTAGCATAAATGGCTGCACAAAGCACACATTACGGAAATTAAAGACAGAATATAGGAAAACATTAACATACATCCTCCTCAGAAATACAAACCCCACTGAATAGCCAAAACACTAGGATGACTAGATACCAACTTCAGTCGGACGGAAGAGTACTCGGTGACGTCATCGCCTGGTGCAGAAATCGAGGCTTGCCACAATTTCTGTATTTGGCCGTGGAGTTATCGTGTAGTACAGTGTTTTGGCTATCTCATGCACGTAAACTACCACACACAGACACACAGAGACAAACCTATTTTTTCAATCAGTTTTTCAGAAAAGACAGACAAAATTAAAATCTGACAAAAACTTACCACTTTACAACTACCGATCTAGCTAGCAGCCATAACTGACCTATAATACTTTTAATAAGCAAGGAGAGGTCACTAAAATCATTATTTTTAAATAATAACTTTTAAATCCACGGCCAAGACATCGGTCATGGCCTCGTATGAGGCCTAGACTCAGTTAAGAAGAGATCAACAGTGCAGTATTCGCTCCGTGCGCGACAGCAGCGCCAATTCGTTTTGATACTAATGGGCTATTTCTGCGTACACTGACAAATGCAACTTTTAATAGAATTTGTAATTAAAAAGTATAAATGGTAGTTTTAATAAAAGTATATGGATTTGTAAAACAAGTAAAACATTAATTTATTATTATTATATATTTTTATCGCTTAAATTAAAGAAAATTATGTATAATCGATAAAAATCAATAATAAAATATAGGCAGGCAACAGTATTAACAGGAAAATGTGTGAGAAGTTGCCTAAGTGCTCTTTCACACGAGGATACTGTATGCCAGATACGCGTATCTGAGATACAGAATCGCGGTCAAAAACTTGGGCTGCTGTATCGAATTCACGCATCTCTTCAATCAGTACTAGAATAGTCACAGTGGCGTGTATAGGTTTGAGTTATGGATCTAGAAGAGTGCAATATAGTGAGGTATATATTACAGTGACCCACATAAAATGCACATCGTATAGGTTTTTTTGTAAATGCTGTAGATGAATTTTGACTTTGCCATCTTCTATTGCCTTAAAAATGATAACGAATGACATGCAAATGGACAAACACGTAACCTTTTTGAATGTCTAAAATGACATTTTTTCCTAAAAATTGCAAAACGGCAAAAAAGTTGCTTATTTTTTAATTTTTTACCCATATAGCCCGTGTCAAGTTTTTAATTTCTACCAATTCAGTTTTGGGTTACTGGAATTTAGCCAAGTTGTATATAAAATATTTTTTAACAAAAAACATTTAAAAGAAGCGCATCGCGTAAACAGATTAACTTATGTAGGTTAGCGTAAATTCTAGTAACCTTAAAATGAATTGGTGGAAAAAATAAAAAAAAGTTGAAAATTGGTGTATGGGTAAAAAATAAGTAACTTTAGACATATGTTTTTTTGCATTTTTTACAAAAAAAAGTCAATTTTGCCACGTGATTTTAAGAAAAAGTAATCCATGTGATATTTTCAATAGATAGGGTAGATAATGAAATAATATTGAAATTAATACAGTCAAAAACTCATAAATCAATTTTGAACCAATTCATGTTGTTCTACCAAGAAAAATGTACGAGTTTGACGCAAATGCATCTGTAGAGTACATTACTTTAAAATTAAAAGACTGGGCATACAACATGCGTAGAAAAGACGGTGGTAAAGAATATATAAATTCTGTAGTTTAGGCTAATTTTTATTCGTGAAATAATTTTACAAAAACTCTTCGTGCATCTAATTTAATCTTTTCTCAAATAAATTAAACTATCAAACTAAATGCACTCAGGATACCTACCATTGAAAAATCCTGTGCCTATGATATAATCTCCGTTGCAAAAGTATCCATGTTTGAAAAGGTCCATATATCGTAATAGTTATGCAGTATGCGGCATACGCATTCAGCCTCCGCGGTTGAAGGTGTCGTGATACAGAAATTCCGTATCGGGATACTGTA